CTGGGATCATGACCTGAGCCAGAGGCAGACGCTTAACGACTGAGCCACCCAGGCTCCCCTAATTCACCCATTTAAATTGTGAAATTGTAATTATATTATCTTGTTTATTTCTAATCCTATATAATAATAATCCTAAGTGTGTACCATTGTATCTGGTATGTATTAGACAGTCAACATATTGAGTGAGTTAATAAGGGCTTTACTGAATAATAACTGTGCATGGTACCATGAGGGTTATTTAAGTTTAACATATTTACTCAATCTCAAAGAATTTATAGTTTATAATCATTGACCTTGCTTTCCTTCTTGAAAAATTTCTTTTCAGTTGGGGTTTGTAACAGTTTATCTACTTGATTTTCATCTACCCTTGTGGCTGCTTTTTGTCATAATCTTTGAAGGATCCACTTCCTTTGCACATCTCTTCAATGTTCGCTTTTATTTTTCTTCTTTGTGTATTCTTCCCTGGCTACTTGAGTTCACTTCCATTGTTTCAGTTACCGTCTATATTACCAGAAGTCTCTATCACTGTCCTAGATCTCTTTCCTGAGCCCCAGATCCACGTGTTCAGTGGACTGCTGCTTTTCTCCACTTGTATGGTTTATAGCCACTAACTGAATAAGTAAGTTATCATTTTCCTCCTTACTCTGCTCCTTCTCCAGGATTTCGCAAATCAGTATATGATATCAGCATCTCAACCATTACCCAACATCCTTCCTCCAAAGCTAGTTAGTTAGGTATATATTACCTATTAAATGTAACTCAAATCCTTCTACTTTTCTTCATCCTTAGTGTCATTGCTGAAGACCAGGTTGTGTTTACCTGGGCCATTACAGCAACTTCCAATCTTGCTCTCTTCCAGTCCAGTCTCTCCAGAGTAAATTCTAAAGTATATCTGGTCATCTCGCTCCTAGCTTAAAATGTTTGCCTCATTCATTTCAGAAAATGGAATCATCAAAACAGATAAAGTATTTGAAGTAATGCTGGCCACAGACCGTTCCCATTATGCAAAATGTAATCCTTATATGGATTCTCCACAATCAATAGGTAAGGTCTGGATTTCTGAAAATGTCACATTTTTACTCATTTACTGTATAATTTTTGTTAAATAAAAATGGACGGGACACAGATATTTATTATTACCTTGCTAGTTTGAATTTTATGCCTCAGTTAAGTGTCATAATTCCAAACATAGCCATTTCAATAAAATGATGTTATGTATTAAGTACCTTTTCTATTTTTTCAAAGTGTGTATAATATATATGAAGAATATTTTAAACATTTTTCTTAAAACATACTTTTAATGAAAATTTAAGTTTAAACTGAGTGCTTAGCTTTCTTTAGGCCCTTAATGTTGACTAAAGTTGTTTTTCATATTAACATCAGTTTTTTAAATCAATATTAAAGGAAATAAGTGTAATTAAGTGGTTACTGACTTCTCTGCTTCACTTGCCCTGAATTTTTTGGTTTGTGCTTGGTTTTAGAAAGTTCGGTATTTAACTCCTTCTCCTGAAGCAGGTTTTACTGAACTGCTGAGCCTTGGCAGTGGGCGCCTTTGAGGCTTAGAAGGGCCACAGGATTCTGTCAGCCAGCTGCCATGCTTTCTTCTTTTGAAGCACTATAACAGTCAGCAGAGAAGATCCTGGGAAGCTTCTGAACCCCGAAGGCACCTGCTACCACCGCTCAGTGAAAATTGCTTCAGATGCAGAAGCAGGTAAATAAGTTTTGAGAAAGCAACACTGGAAAAAAAACTTGAAAGCTTAAAAACTAAGAAAAGATTGTGAATTACCATCAGGCAATAGTATAAAGAGTAAACTGAGGTAGTTTTTTAGTCTCTTAATCTACTTTGATTGCCAGTTGCTCAATAAGTTGCCAGAAATAGGAAGCAATTTAATTTTCAGAAATTTTGCATACCTATTATATATGGAAGTTTATTTTCTTTTTCTAAACCTGGAGAGAAAACAAGTCATAAACTTACAAACTCAACTTCTTGAGTTCGTAAGCTAACTATATGGGAGAAGAAATTTTTAGAAATAGTGGGAGTGTTGTACTAGATGAGCATATTAGCCTTTGGCATGATGTATTTTCTCATTATAACTGCTACTTGACAGTACTCTAAAATGCAAAATAAAAGTTTTATTTTCTTGAGATCATAAAAACGAGAAATATTATTATGAAAAAGAATTTGTGGATGTTAGGAAAGGAGTTACATGGAGTATCTGGTATGTTTTTGCAGGTGAATGTGTCAGTAGTTCTCTTCTTCTTTTGCAGGTTTCCAAGCAACAATCAGTGCTCCACACATGGTAAGTTAACGTTGGTCATTTGGGTATAAATGGATCACATTTTTCCTCTAAGATCATTTTCTTTAGTAAAAAAGGTTTAAAAAAAGTTGAACTTTTAATTAGATCAATTTTATCATCTATGAGTTTTGTAGATTGGTAATGAACCTCTTATTCTTAATACATGATATATAGAGAGAAGTCTTCTTGGTAGAAACTGTCATTAAAGTTTTTGTTGGTTGTCATTAATATCTAATCATGTAAAAATTGGATATAAAAGGTTATTTAGTGATGAGCAAATTAAGGAAGAGAATATTTTTTTTTTTAAGATTTTATTTATTTATTAGAGTAAAAGAGAGCACAAGCAGGGGGAGTGGCAGACAGAGAGAGAGAAGCAGGCTTCCCGCTGAGCAGGGAGCCCAATGCGGGGCTTGATCCCAGGACCCTGGGATCATGGCCTGAGCCGAAGGCAGACGCTTAACTGACTGAGCCACCCAGGCGCCCCAGGAAGAGAATATTTTAAATAATATAATGGATATATTGTAGAAATCTCAAGTTGAATATTATTTCTTTTATTTCATATCTTATTTGGAAAAATCATTAGGGATTGGTCAAATATAGCAGCTGTGAAGCTGTATAACTGAGAAGGACCTATTTTAAGTTATCTGGCACTTTTAATCTGTTGGGAATTTTCTTGGGTTTTAAATGTCAGTTATTTGAATGAGTACTCTGTTGGCTTTTGGGGAAAAGAACAATAGCTTTTCTGATTCTCTGAAAGTATTTGGGATTGGAGAAGCTCTTATTTAAATGTAAAGCCTTCTTTATATTAAAATAAATTTACATATATTTATGATGAACTGTTATACTATATGAAAATATAGGAAAATTATTATTTATAAACATTAAATAGAAATGATTTGGGGCACCTGGGTGGCTCAGTCGTTAAGCATCTGCCTTTGGCTCAGGTCATGATCCCAGGGTCCTGGGATCGAGCCCTTCATCGGGCTCCCTGCTTAGCGGGAAGCCTGCTTCTCCCTCTCCCACTGCCCCTGCTTGTGTTCCCACTCTTGCTGTCTCTCTCTGTCAAATAAATAAATAAAATCTTAAAAAAAAAAGACTTTATTTTTTAATTTTTAAATTTATTTTCAAAAGATTTATTTATTTTAGAGTGAGAGAACACAAGCTGGGGGAGGGGCGGGGGGCAGACTCCCCACTGAGTGTGGAGACCGATGTGGGGCTTGATCTCATGACCCTAAGATCATGACATGAGCTGAAATCAAGAGTCAGATCCTTACCAACTGAACCACCCAGGTGCCCCTAGAAATGACTTTTTAAAACATGACAAAAGATGAGCCATTAAAAAACACGATATATTTTGCAACATAAAAATTTTGGATTTCTGCAGAGAAAAAAATGTTATAAGCAAAATTAAAAGGAGAAAAACTGAGGGAAATATTTAGAATACATACAACAATCTAGGTCAAATTTCCATATACAAATGTGGGTTTGTATCCTATAAATTAAGAAATGAAAGACTGGTGAACCCAAAAGAATATAGTTAAAGTACCAGAATGATAGTTAATAGAAAAAGAAATAGAGATGACATTAGCACTTAAACAAATGAAAAGATGTCATTTTCATTTATATTTATATAGTTAGTAAATTACACATTAGCATTGTAGTGAAGTACCGTTTTTCACCTATCAGATTGTCAGAGGTGAAAAAGTTTAATACTTTGTATTGGAAAGGGGGAAACAGTTACATACTTTTTTGTTGAGAGTAAATTGATAGTGTTGGAAGGCAATTTGGCAAATTTATAAAATGTGAGATAAATATACCTTACATTCTTCAGTTTTATTTCAAGATATTTATCCTATGGTACATTTTTGTAGGTACAAAATGACTAAAGATGTTCATTGTCACATTATTTATAATAGCAAAAAGACGTGATCACTGATAGTCCACTAATAGTGGATGGTTAATAATTATAGTTTGTCCATACAGTGAGTTACTGTGAAGCTGTTAAATGGGGAATTTCTGTAAGTACCAATACAGCAAGATGTTCAGGAAACATTAAGTATAAAAGCAGAGTACAGAAGAGTATTTAGAGTATTCTGCAATATACAAAAATCAAATCTGCATGTATACACACATATGTCTTCCTCTAGGCATGAAAACTTAAAATGATTTCTTCTAAGGTCAGAAGTAGATGATTGGAGGGATGGGAATGAAAGTGAGATCTGCTTTTCACTCTGTACCCTTTACATGTTACCAATTTTTTTGTTTTCTTCTCTCTCTTTTTTTTAAAGTTTATTTATTTAAGTAATCTCTATAGCCAATGTGGGGCTTGAACTCCCAACCCCAAAATCAAGAGCTGCATGCTTCTCTGACTGAGCCAGCCAGATGCCCCCTTCTTTGTTTTTTTTAACCATGGAATAGGAATGGTTTTTTTTTTTTTTAAATATTTACTTATTTTATTTTATTTATTAATTTTTAAAGATTTATTTGAGAGAGCACGCAAGCTAGCACAAGCCAGGGGAGAGGCAGAGGGAGAGTGAGAAGCAGACTCCCCACTGAGCAGGGAGCCAGATGTGGGGCTCGATCCATGGACCCTGGGATTATGACCTGAGCCAAAGGCAGACACTTAACTGACTGAGCCACCCAGGCACCCAAAAAGGATGCATTTTTATTTTTTTTAAAGATTTTTTATTTATTTATTTGACAGAGAGAGTCACAGCGAGAGAGGGAACACAAGCAGGGGGAGTGGGAGAGGGAGAAGCAGGCTTCCTGCGGAGCAGAGAGCCCGATGCAGGGCTTGATCCTACGACCCTGGGATCATGACCTGAGCCCGAAGGCAGACGCTTAACTACTGAGCCACCCAGGCGCCCCAAGGATGCATTTTTAATCACTTATATATCTTTACCTCTGTCTCTTAATAAGGAAAATGTGTGTATTTATGTGTACGTATATAGTCACACAGTACATCTATATGTATGCTTGTATGTACAAACAGTAATAATACAGTGTCCTTTGATGCTTGCTGAACCAGGATGTGAGTAGAATAAAATAGTATTAATCGTATTATACAAACAAGAATTTGTGATTTAGTATCATTTATTGCATAGATCTTAGAAGTATTAAAAGAGAAACAAAGTGAGGAGCAAAGATAAATGACATCTCTGTTTAATGAACTTTAAAATCACAGACTTGCTTGGAAGTATCTACAGTCCTGGAATATTTTCCAAAGACTTAATTGAAAATGTGATATATGCATTGGGTAAGAAAAAGCAACCTGTTAAAATGGCATCCTGGTAGCCGTGAGTACACATAGTATGCAGATATTGAATCCTAAAAAACATTTCTCACTAAATGAGACTAGAGCTCCTTGGAGAAGTGACTGAATATTAGAAAGTGAGGAAGTACTCAAAGGTTGATGGGGTGATGTTGGAAGGACATATGAGCAGGTTTGAAGAGATTCCCAGAGGCCAAATTGTAGACAATTTGAAAACTGAAAAATGATAGATAATCAAGGTAATGGATTGTAACACTGTGAATTAAGAAACAAAAATCCAGGGTGCCTGGATGGCTCAGTTGGTTAAGCGACTGCCTTTGGCTCAGGTCATGATCCCATGATCAAGTCCCACATTGGGCTCCCCTGCTCTGCGGGGAGCCTGCTTCTCCTTCTCCCTCTGCCTGCCACTCTCCCTGCTTATGCTCTCTCTCTCTCTGTCAATAAATAAATAAAATCTTAAAAAAAAAAAAAAAAAAGAAAAGGAAACAAAATCCATGAGTTCATAGAAATTTTAAAAAAAGCAAGACGGAAAAAAATGAAAAACCAGAAGAATGCCAATTAATAAAGGAGGGAATAATAGAACTTTGTAAAAAAATCACTATTTTGTAATCATCAATATGATTAAATTGGGCAGAGATCATCAATTAATCTAAAACAGTTTAGAGAAAGGTTATTGAGGAACAAAAATGTTCATGTAGTCTCAAATTCTTACTCTACATATTACTTATTAATTACTAAGAGAAAATTATGCCTTTAAAATAGAGTGATCTAGTCGTTACCATATTTATTGAGTGGTTGAGCTTGGCAAGTCCAGAGGTAAGGTGACCCAACATTATGTGCTTCCTGATGTGATGCAACGGGAGGTGCCTAGCAAGCCTCGTGTGCTATTCTTGCTAACTCTTGGATCTGAGTCTAACCTTGAGGAAATTCACACATCTAGAATATGGGGAATTATGTGGGACAGCCAGACAGGACTCCTTAAAGGAGTCAGTGTTCTGAAGAATAGAGAAGTGGTAGGTAGAGGAGAATTGAGGGGAGAATATTTTATATTGACAAATGCAGTGCATGAACCTTGAATGGATTAGGGGAAAAACAGCTGTAAAGGACATTTTGGGGACAGTTGAAATTTGAGTATGATGTGTATGTTAGATGATACTAAATTGATTATTTTCTTGAGTGTGTTAATGGTGATGTGGTTGCAAAGGGAGATGTCCTAGTTTTTTAGCAGATTCATGCTGAAGTATTTTGGGGTGAAGTATCGTGATGTCTACAGCCTATTTTCAGATGGTTTGGTAAAACATTTGGCACAATATATAAAGTCGGTGACTGTATGTAAGGGAAAAAAGGGTATTCAATGTATTTGTGGGTTTAAAATTTTTCATAATTATAAAAAAGAACTTTTAAAAAACATAGTTTGAGGATTTAGAGATAAACATGGGCTATCCAGAAAAATATTAGCTAGGGTGATAAAAGCATTAAAAAAAGCTAATAATTGTGATTGAAGGCCTTGACATTTTAAATCTGAATGGGACTTTAATAATAACTCAGCATACTCCCCTTTTAAAAAAACTAAATCTTATGCAAACATAGTACTGAAAAAAATATTCCTGAGGTTTTTTTGGAATTAAGATGGTACAGTACTGCCTGTAGATTGGGGATTGGTACCTTAAAGAAGTCCTTCTTGTCCTTTGATTTCCGGATCTGGAAATCCAGATATTGCAGAAGTTATTTTGTTTCTTTGATTACTTCCCTATTCTTCTAGTCCCATGCTTGTTATCTTATTAGTAGAAATTATTAAACCTCATAACTGATTATTGTAAGAGTCTGATGAAAGCTACTTTTGATGTTTAATCCAGAACTCTTTTTCATGGCATGAATGTTTTTCACTCTTTAGGCAAGAGCCTCTTTTGTAAAGCAATCCATATGAAAAATTGATAAAGGTAGTTCTCTATTACTCATTTCCCAAAACACACCCATCCCTCAGTGTGTATTTGTGTGTTATCCCTAATGGGCTTTTGTGGAACCTTAATGACTTTCTGGAACACTGAAAACCCTTGGATTGTGTGTGGTTTTATCTATTAAAGGCCTTTTTTACATTAGTTGTGGAATAGTAGCCTTAGCTTTTTCTTTTTTAACTTTTTAATATGGAAAGTTTCCAACACCACATATACAAATAGGATAATATAATGAACCCTCATGTAGCTATCATCACCTTTAATAATTACCCACAATTTGTTAATCTTGTTTTATCTTTGTCTCCCTCTTACTGAACTATTTAAAAACAAATCTCAAACATAATATTTTTCACCCCTAAATATTTAAGTATAAAATCTGATGACTTTAAAAACATGACTACAATACTATATCATACCTAACAATGTTCATTAGTATGTTATTACCTTACACATAGTCTGTACTCAGACTGGACCATGTGTTTCAAAAAAATTGTTTTATGGTTGATTTGCTTATATCAGGATCCAAACAAGGTCCAGACATTGCATCTTTTTAGTCTTTTTCAGTCTTTTTAGTACCTTTTAATTTTAAAAGACCTCTTTCTTTTTTTAAATACCACTTATTTATTGACAAAACTCATCCATTTGGGGGCGCTTGGGTGGCGCAGTCGAGTGTCCCAACTCTTGGTTTCAGCTCAGGTCCTGATCTCAGGGTTGTGAGATTGAGCCCTGCGTCGGGCTCCACATTCAATGCAGAGTCTGCTTAAGTTTCTCTTTCCCTCTCCCTCTGCCCCTCCCCTCTGCTCTTTCCCTCCCTCTCCCTCCCTCTCTCAAATAAATAAGTTCTTAAAAAAAACCCAAACAAACCCCATCCATTTGTCCTGTAGAATTTCCCATATTCTAAATTTGGTTAATTGTTTCCTAGTGGTATTTAACTTATTCCCCCCACCCCGACACACACATCTTTCCCCCCCCTTTTCCTTTTCAAGAACACTGCCTAATGATTTTTTTTGTTCCATCACATCAGGGGTACATGAAATCTGATCATCCACTTTTAGTGATTGGAATACATAGTCTTTTCAATAACTTTTTTTTAAGATTTTAATTATCCATTTGAAAGAGAGCGAGTGAGAGCAGGGGGAGGAACGGAGGGAGAGGGACAAGCAGACTCCATGCTGAGTGTAGAGCCTGACGTGGGCCTCAATCCCAGGACCCTGAGATCATGACTTGAGCTGAATCCAAGAATTGGACACTTAGCCAACTGCACCATATAAAACCCAATAATATTATACACGCTTGGTAAGGTACACAAATCTTAAGTGTATAGCTTAATGAATGTTCACATATGTATACGTGTAGCCACCACCTAGATGAAGATCAGAACGTTTCTTATGTTCTAGCAGGCTCTCTCATGCCAGTTTCTTAGCCTTTACCCTCTGTGTAACCAGTATTTTGGCTTTGGTCACCTAAATTAGTTTTCTAAATAGGGAGTTTCCATTCTGTCCTCCATTTTGAACATTACCTGTTTCTGATGCTTAAAATTTTTTTTTTTCTTTTTAAAGATTTTATTTATTCTAGAGAGAGAATGGGGGGGAGGGACAAACAGACTCCATGCTGAGCATGGAACCCCATGTGGGGCCAATCCCATGACCCTGAGATCATGACCTGAGTCAAAACCTAGAGTCGGACATTTAACAGACTGAGCCACCCAGGCGCCCCTCTGATGATTTTTTTTTTAAGATTTTATTTATTTGAGAGAGAGAGAATGAGATAGAGAGGGAGCATGAGAGGGGGGAGGGGAGGAGGGAGAAGCAGACTCCCTGCTGAGCAAGGAGCCCATGTGGGACTCAATCCTGGGACTCCAGGATCATGAACTGAGCTGAAGGCAGTCACTTAACCAACTGAACCACCCAGGTGCCCCCCTCTGATGATTTTTAATAATGAACATAGCAGGCATTTAAGGACAGCTTTTGAGATAACATTGATTAGTTCTAATCACATATTTTGGAAAAGCACGGAAATGTAAGTTTATAAAGAGGAGGGAGTAGAAAAGGCTTTTTTTCTTGGTTTGGTCCATAGTGTATCCAATATGATTTTATTTGATTAATAATTTATATATACTGTAAACATAAAACTATATATCCTTTGACCCCCCCCAGTTCTACTTCTAGGAATTTATCCTATAGGTACACTTTATAAGATTTTTTTAAAAGATTTTATTTATTTATTTATGTGAGAGAGAGAGAGCATTAGTGGGGGAAGGGGCAGAGGGAGAGAATATCCAAGCAGACTCCTGCTGAGTGCAGAGCTGGGTGCGGGACTCGATCTAATGACCCATGAGATCAGGACCTGAGCCAAAGCCAAGTCAGATGCTTAACTGACTGAGCTACCCAAGTGCCCCACTTTATAAGATTTTTATAAAGATTATTATATTATCCTACACATATACTTTTTAAGATTATTTCATATCTTCTGTTATAGAAGATTGGAGCTAACTTAAAAATCCCTCATTAGGGATTTTTTTTGGGGGGAATTTTTGTTATTATAATATACATATAAGAATATACTTCTCAGCCATAAAAAGGAATGAACAGGCTATTTATTTATTTATTTTTAAAGATTTTATTTATTCATTTGACAGAGAGCGAGAGAGGGAACACAAGCAGAGGGAGTGGGAGAGGGAGAAGCAGGCTTGCTGCCGAGCAGGGAGCCCGATTTGGGGCTCGATCCCAGGACCCTGGGATCATGACCTGAGCCGAAGGCAGACACTTAACGACTGAGCCACCCAGGCGCCCCAAGAGTCGTGCTCTTCTAACTGAGCCAGCCAGGTGCCCTGAAAGAGCTTCAGTTTCTAAGTGCAGGATAAACAACTGTTGTATAAGAAAGGAAACGAGCATTGGCTACCTCTTGGCTCAGCTGCAAATGATGTTTACAGTCATAACTGAAAATGGTTTTAAAAAATTATGATATTGGTTGGATTGAGGAAGAGGGGAAGGGAGCAGAGTAAGAGAGCTCAGGCCTCATCTAGCATATAATTTGAAATAAGAACGTAAAGACTCTACAGCATGGTCACTGTAGTTAACAACACTGTATTATATATTTGACAGTTGCTGAGTGAGTAGGTTTTAAAAGTGCTCTTCATCACAAAGAAAAAATTGTAACTATGTGTGGTGATGGATGTTAATTAAACTTATTGTGGTAATCGTTTTGCAGTATATACATATTATCAAACCCTTATGTTGTACACCTAAAACTAATACAATGTTATATGTCAATTATATTTTAATAAAAAGCATAAAAGACATGCTTTAGAAATAATCACTACCAAAAAAGTAAATACTAGTAGACGACACAGCTAAGAGCACTTAAAATATTTAAAATGACTGGATTTAGGGAGCAAGATTGGAGTAGGGGCAAGTCTGCTTCATTTTATCATAAACCTTGACATTTAGAGAAACAACTCAAAGAATACTTGGAAGAATTACTTGAATAAAGATTAAAGTGGGAAAAATTAGATAGGCTTGCTGACAACTGAAATTTTGAGGACGCACTTTTCTGGGATAATCTATCCAAAGTAAAGTTTCTCCCTTACAGTTTTAGATTAGTAGTCGTTGGTCAGGCCACATTCAAATGGTAACATGTGACCTAAAAGTTTTCTGACTGGAAGGGCTTTCACTGAGTAGTCTTGGTTTTTCATTGACAAGGGTGTCTTACATTCTAATGCTGCAGAACTCCAGCCCTACCTTCCTTTGTCATGGTGTGAGCAGTCCTAAAATGAGTCATAAAACCGAGGTTCCCTTATTTTTTTGGCTCAGTGATGCTCTAATTCTACAATGACAGGGTAGGGACTCCTTACTGATTTTCTGCACTCCCCTGCTCCCTTCTCTGCTCCAAACCACACAGATTTAAAACGGTATACAGGCATTGAAATGTTCTGCTTTGCCTTTGGTCTTCCCAAGAGGATAGCTCTACATTATGTGGTTCAGTTCATTTTGAGCCCTGCAGTTGTACCATGTACTATGTTAGGTGCCCAGCGCACAAAGATGAATAAGATCACAGTCCCTCTCATCAAAGAACTTGTAGTTTAGTAGAGGAGGTCGATCAGTAAATGGTTAAGTGGTGATTGAGTAATAAGTTTAACAATCAAAGTATGTATCTACTAAATAAAGTGCATTTCTGCTTTCTGCGCATGGACACTGGAAAGTTGTGATGTAAAATGACTCTTAATATAAAATCTGTAACTTGGTGTGTATGTCTTTTTCTTTTTCTTTTTAGCTGATAGACCAGTTAAAGCCTGGTGGGAGATTGATACTGCCAGTTGGTCCCGCAGGTGGAAACCAGATGTTGGAGCAGTATGACAAGCTACAGGACGGCAGTGTCAAGATGAAACCCCTGATGGGAGTGATATACGTGCCTTTAACAGATAAAGAGAAGCAGTGGTCCAGGTGGAAGTGATTTTATCTTCTGCTCTTTCTTCTTCCACACATGCAAGGTGAAGGGTGTGGATTCTAAGACATTAGACCACAAGAGCTGCTTTTTTTGGTTGTCACCTTTATGCTTCTCCATTTTAACATCAGAAATTCACTACATTAAAAATCTAGAAAAATTTTGCATGAGTCTGCCCTTCTTTTGGTTTAACTCATATCTTTGGGAAAGGGGGGTGAGACTTGGTTGGCACAAAGGTGGTTTTTTTTTTTTCTTCCTTTTTTTTAAAAGAGGCTTTTAGCCACAGTTCAGAACTTTTTAAGGATACTTATTATCAGCCATTGTTTTTCTGTATTCACAAATCATTTTTGTAGCTGCTTTATGGTCATGGAAAGAAAGACTTTGGTCCGAAGAGAAGGGGCCATCCTTTCTGCCCCGTTCACACCCTGTGTGTACCATTGTTACAAAGAGAAAGAAGGGAAAAGATACTCTTGTCCCAGTTTTCAAAGGTGTCAGAATCCCAGAGAAGACATTTTTCCGCTCAACTTGCTTTCTTTCAGTCAGGTTCATTGACATTCTAACAACCTGGGCCAAATAAACTTCTCACCAGTCTATAGAACTGGCCAGCCCATTTTGAAGCCACCCTAAGTTCCTGGGGAGGGGAGTGGATTCTGTGAGCTCAAAGCGAGTGCAATGCCCAGGTCTCACAAACCCACCCAAAGGGCCAACAGCATGCAGCATAATCCTCAGTACAGCATGGCTCATTATAATGCCTACTTGTGTTTTATGTCTCAGCATAATCCGAGTATTTTGTCTGAAGCCAAGGTTTCTCTTCTTCCTCTCTCCTTCTCCCTTTCCCTCCCCATGTCCTTCAGTGGGAAGGAGTGAGATCAGTAAGAATGACACTAGCTAAGACTACTTAAAATTAAATGTCAAAATAAGAAAGACTTTCAAGTTTCCTTGTTTTAGAATCTTTTTTTATTTGACAAAGGTACTTATTTTAAGATAATTATTTTTTTAATAAGTAAAATGGTGATTATAAGTTTAATAGACCTCTTAATTTTGTTTTTTTGGAAGGAGGAAAGATACCATGTGAATGAATATTTAATTGCAAAAATGGTAACAAATCTCAGTTTTTCTTTTTATTCTGATTGTCCATTTCTGAGATATGTTATTAGGAATTGCTTTATTCTTCACTTAATGTGGACATAGCTATTTTCTTTGAGTTCTAACCTGGAGCACGGCCACTTAAAAAAAAAAAATTACAAAGCTATGAGTCCTGTCAGTTAAAATCATATAGTTCTTAACAACTAATTACAACCTTCCTTGACTTTGCTTCTAGTATGGTTATGTTGTTATATAATTGTATAGTTGCTATTGTATAAAAGGGGCAAACATACACTGAACTTACCGAAATTTGGTATCAAGTAAGAGTTCAGATTTTCATTAGTAAGTTTAAAACTTTTCTTTTTATATACAGTAAATATTAGTATTGAACATTCCACTGTAGTTTGATGATGAAGGAATTACAAAAAGGTATTTTGTTTTTATAACCAGAGGTGGATTTAGCATGAAGCAAACGAAACTTAAGCCTCAGGGCCTTCACATGCTTGGGGGCCTTCCTGGCCTTACACCTAATATTATAGGCAGTCTTGTTTTTAGTCCTCTTTTTTTTCCCTTCATGAAGAGGTTCTCCCCCTTCCCAGGTCATACAAGCTCTATGTTTCCACAACACCTATATTCACCCCTTATAAAACTAAATTATTTGTATTAAATTTAGAATAATTTTTAAATTTATGGACAAGTGATTTACCAAATATATTTAGTCATTTACCAAATATTTAAATATATATACTTGTTTTTCTTTTTGGTTTTCAACTTTTTAAAAGATTGGGCAATTTCACTGGAAACTTTTCTCTAGTTGTACCAGGAGGACTTCCTAATTCTTTTTGTTGTCAATTTTCTGTTTGTTCAAACACATTTTCCTACATCCAAAGATGTAGTGGGTCTTTTTTGTTTTGTTTTAAGTAAGCTCTATGCCCAGTGTGGGGCTTGGACTCATGACCCTGAGATCAAGAGTTGCGTGTTCTACCAGCTGAGCCATCCAGGTGCCCCCAGAGATAGTTACTTAATTGTAAATCTTTAAAGAATATAGGTTTAAAGAATGTAAAGGTGAAACAAAATCTGAAAACAAAATTGGAAAAAACAACTGCCACATTAAATTTTTTTTGTACTGAAAGAAATTACCAGAAAATAGGATGTTTGAAAACAACAGTTAACTTAAAAATCTAAAGAGACCATTAATCTGCTATTTCTATTTGTATTCTTAGACTCTCAGTCAGGGTCCAGAACAGAAAGTATGCTCAGCTAGGATTTTAAAGTGATTTTAGTGAAAGGACTGTTCAAAGAAATATGGGAACGGTTATGGAAATCCGGAAAAGATGTTGACATACCCAGGTACCAGGGTCCTAATGATAGGCCATAAGGGGAGGAAACAGTTTTACTGGAACCCACTGAGAGCAGGGACTGTACTAGGGCCATGGATACATAGCTGAGAATTTGAAACTGACCATTCTCATGGAACTTATAGTCACTTGGGAGATCCAAAAAAATCTGAAGAAGACAAACAGGCAATTAGAGTATAGTGTGTTTAGTAGGGAGCAGCTGTGTTGAAGCCAGACAGTGAAGTAATCAGAATTACATTTCAGAAAGATGACTCTGGCTGTGGTGTAGAGAGTAGTTTGGAAAGGGACAGAACGACAGAAACAGAATGTGGTTGTAGCAAGTTAGGGGTGAAATGGTGGTGGCCTGAGTTAAGGCAGTCGATAGAATGTGGTTGAAAAGAGTCATTTACCATTTTCTAAGTGCCCAGCCCACATTTGGGATTTATCATCTCAGAAGCTCCTAGTCAGTTCTATTGCCAGGTTAGGTGATCTTTGTTCTTTCAGATTTTCTTCAGGATTAATTTAACAGCTCATCTCCATGCTTTCTTCTGGACGTTCTCTAGCTTCTCACCAGCCTTCCATCCTTTTCTTCCTGAGGAGTCCAGAGCTAGTTGCAGTGCTCCATGAGGGTGAGATCCAATCTTTGCTGAGGAGGTGTGGTAGAAACTATATGGGAAAAAAGAGCCCTAGTGGGCATGCTGAATTCTCATGCCAAATAAAGCCCAGAGCCTGGATGTAGACTTACGTTTCCTTATACTTGGAAAAATATCACTTCTAATTTTGGTGGAGTAATAAAAGGGGAGACAATGCCAGATGTATGAGCCATAGACCTAGAACCTGTGTATTATGTTCATGACTATGAATGTGTAGTAGTTGTGTTAGTTGCTTCATAAGCTCTTTATACTTTTTAAATTTGTATTTTATTTTATGTAAGTATTATATGTAGAAATCAATATTTTGTTAATCATCTGGTAAGTTTTATTTTTGTTTTTAATGGTCACAAGAGTCAATGGAATAAGCCCATCTCTGGTTTGTGAAACTGAAGAATGTTTCAGGATTCTCATTCTGTAAGCGCTTTGCTTATCAATGTCATCTCAAAGTGCCATGCACACATGAAAAACATGTTATGAATTGGTTGGGCATTTCTAAGATTGACAGTATAGGTCCTAGGGTATCCAGTTATCCTGTGTTCATATTGTTCTATATTGTCCCTTTTTAATTTCTTTACATACATCACAGCATTATGACATATTTTGCATTCTTAAAGGCAGGGATATATTTTGTTGCTTTTGGAATTATTTTTATGTCTCTCATAATACTTTGTATAATTTATTATCTCAGAAAACCCATTAAGTAGAAACCATTCATGGATTTTGATTGTTGTTTCTTGGTAATACATCTTTTCATTTGTTCTTGATAAAAAATATATAATACTAATGTTAGTAGGTTAGAGTTATTAACCTAATAAGTTATATATAATTATACATTATATAATGAAATAATATATATATAGTTATTAACCTAATGAATATGTTTAGCACATATATAATAAAGAGACTTTCTAGAAATTTAAGACATAATACTTTTTATTGTAAGTTATCTACACGTGTAAGTCAGATAAAGATAGTTATGTAGAATTTGGAACATTAAGTGGAAAAATAACTTGAAAGTTATGTCAATTTTGGAGTATTAGGATGGGACATTTATACATGCTCTGACAGCAAATTTTTGGTTTTCTTTGGCATCCTAAATGTTAAAATTCGAGTCCATAGACTTAATTTCTTTTCCTTTTTTTTAGTGCTATACATTTCCTTTTGTTTTTAATAATACTGTTCCTGACTACCAAAATAATACATATGTAATGTAAAAATTTTTAGACGTACAAAGGATGAAATAAAAATCATCCACAGTCCCAGAACCTAGAGATAACCACTATTAACATTTTGGTAGATTTTTTTTTTTTTTTAACTCTTATCCATAGTCCTGTATACATCTTTTTGTAATCCTGAGATCATATAGTAGCATTATCTTGTAATCTCCTTTTTCCATTTAATAATTTCATCAACATTGTCCCACATTGTTAGCTTTTTTAAAATATGACTTTTTCCCCAGTTTTAGTGAGATATAATTGACATAGCATTATATTACTTTTATGTGTACAGCGTAGTGATCTGATATATGTATATACAACAAGATGATTACCACATTAAATTTCGTTTTATGGTTTGAGGTCTTACATTCAAGTCTTTAATCCATTTTGAGTAGATTTTTTGTGTGTGGTGTAAGATGGTGGTCCAGTGTCATTCTTTTCCATGTGGCTGTCTAGTTTTCCCAGCACCATTTACTGAAGACATTATCTTTTCCCCACTGTATGTTCTTGGCTCCTTAATTAAATGACCATATATGTGTGGGTTTATTTCTGGGCTGTCTATTCTGTGTCATTGACCCTTGTGTCTCTTTTTATGGTACTACCATACTATTTTGATTATTATAGCTTTGTAATATAGTTTGAAATCAGGAAGTGTGATACCTCCAGCTTTGTTCTTTCTAAAGATTGCTTTGGATATTTGAGTCCTTTTATGGTTCTATACAAATTTAAGGGTTGTTCTGTTTCTGTGAAAAATGCTGTTGGGATTTTGATATGGATTACATTGAATCAGTAGATTGCTTTGGGTAGTATGGATATTTTAACAGTATTCATTCTTCCAATCCATGAGCATTGTGTCTTCTTCAATGTCTTTCATTAATGTCTTATACTTTTCAGTGTACAGATCTTTCACTTTGTTTAAATTTGTTTTAGGTATTGTATTCTTTTTTGATGCAATTATAAATGGGATTGTTTTCTTAATTTCTCTTTCTGATAGTTCATTATTGGTGTATAGAAACACAACTGATTTCTGTATACTGATTTTGTTTCCTGCAACTTTATTGAATTAGTTTATTAGTTTTGACATTTTTTTGTTGGTTTTTAGGGTTTTCTATATATGATATGTTGTCTGCAAAAAGAGACAGTTTTACTTCTTTCTTTCCGATTTTGATGCCTTTTATTTCTTTTTCTTGCCTAATTGCTCTGGCTAGGATTTCCAGTGCTATGTTGAATAAAAGTGGCGAGAGTGGGCATCCTTGTCTTGTTCCTGATCTTAGAGGAAAAGCTTTCAGCTTTTCACCACTGAGTATGATGTTAGCTGTGGGCTTGTCATATATGGCCTTTATTATGTTGAGGTACGTTTCCTCTATACCCAGTTTATTGAGAGTTTTTATCCTTTTTAAAAAATTTTTTTAATTGAAGAGGATATTTGGAAATGTTTGTACTGTGTTGTTGGGCAATAAGGATATTTATTTGTAATATCCTTAATGCTTTGCAACAGGCAAGTCAAATATGGGAAATTATTTTACAAAAACAGTAGTATCTTCAATTCACATTTTAAAAAGCACAAGTGAATTTATGAATAGAGCACTTTGCAAGTGAACTCTTTGTAGATTAAATATTTTAATGCTTGCATGAATTTAAGTGAAATCTATGAGAATTATAGTGCTTAAATTATTTAGAAGAATATATTAAGAGGAACCAGAACTGATAATTTGTCATTTAACAGATAATCCAGTACTCTATGACAATGGCAGCTTATGAGAGAAGTAATCTTTAAAATAATTTCTCACACGATTTACAAAATTCAGTTTTAAAAAGAAGCATATTATCTGATAATCCCTTAATTCACCACATACCTGGGAAATTTTAGCTCTTTATTTACTTTCCCTTCAAATTTATTTTAACTTTTAAAAAGCTTTTTAATTTTTATTACACATTGTAAGAATAGTATGAAGACTTCCTGAATCTCTTCATCCAGAGTTACCAATTGTTAACATTTTTCCACATCCACTTTCTCACTCCCTCTTTCTCTCTGTATATATACACAGGTCATATTTTTTCTTGAAATCATTTGAGATTTAGTTGCAAACATCATACTTCTTCACCCCTAAAATTCTTGAATGTTGAACAGTGTTTTTGTCACTCAGATTATCCTCAAATATGAAGCTTTTTGGGTAGCTTTATTTTTTCACTTTTAACAGCTTTCTTGAGGTATAATTTATACACCATACAGTTTGCTTTAGGCTGCATTCTTCCTTCCTTCCTTCCTTCCCTCCCTCCCTCCCCCCCTCCCTCCTGACAGAGGCTGGTACAACGCTGCACCCGGCTGAGCGAGTGTCCTTTGGAGCTGAGAAGCTGCCTTCTGAAATCAGCTGACAGATACACCTACACAGGATGCTTTTTCTCCCAGAGTTTGGGTTGAGACTGACCCACTCAGCATTTGCTAGCAGATAGTCTAAGCAAAAGGCCACATTTTTGTCCAGTTTTGTCAATGTAACTGTAAAAAATTATTCCAACTCTAAATACCCATCGCCATTTTATGATAAATAGTGTTAGCAAGATCCTAGATCCAAAAGTTAAAATTTCTCTGAATTTTTGGTCTTGAAGGAAGAAAGGTACCTTTAGAATGAAAAATAAGGAATCCAGGGCCTTTAGGACTCATTTCATTCTGCAGTAGCACGAGAGATGTTTGGATGGCTGACTTCCATTTTTGCTTTGACTTGGGGCTGTTTGCTTTTTTTTTTCCTTTTTATTGCTTGGGGATGGGTGTATTTTTACTTATTTACTAATTGTATCTAAATTATTAGCCAAGTTTTGTAGTATGTAATGCCTACTTATATATTTCTCTTTTTTACCCCCAGGGATGAACTGTAAAAGCACCATCAGCTTGACCAGTATATAATATTACAGTGGATTGCTCATCTCAGTCCTCAAAGCTTTTTGAAAACCAACAGCATCACAGCTTGTTTTGGACTTTGTTACACTATTATTTTCAGCATGAAATGTATGGTTTTGTAGGGTTTCTAGTTCTTCAAAGAGGCGCAGAAGCTGAATTGGTGAAAGAACGATGCAGAGTATAAATTTGTGTATTATTACTTTAACACGCCCACATTTTACTTAAAAATATTAAAAGACGGGGTTCCACAAAATGGAAGACTTAGTTTGTGAATTGATTTCGAGGAGTGGTTTTTCATAGATACTTAATTCTGTTTCAATATTAATTTATCAGATTGCTCTTGTGCATCAGATAACACCATTCACAAGTTAAGATTCTTAGTTTTTGGATGTCTGTTAGATGCCACTAAGAAAATAGAGATGAGCTTCCTTTTTAAAGCTTTTGATGTGGTGTCCTAGAGTAGCATGTTGTAGATACAATCAGCTGCTTTGTTACCTTAAAACTAAGCATTTGTAAATATTAAAACTTCAGAAGATGGCCTTCACAGCACTTAGCTGTTCAGATTGGACATAACTGACATAGTTCTTCCTTTCCCTCTTTAAAATTATAGGAGACTTGTAGCTCAGTATTGTTTTTTCTGTTTCTCATTTGCTGCTGATAATGTATATGAATTTACCGTGCTGTGTAAGCTGGGTCCTAGTCACTGAACAGTTTATGCAGTGCTGCTTTGCCAAATAAAGTTAAAAGTAAAAGAGGCATTGGTGGTGTTTGAATATAAAAGAAAGAACCACATGTCCCCCCGGTATGGAATGCTGACTGAGATCACAGAGATAGAATTGTGTCTCTGATGCTCCGTTTTATGAAATCTGAGTAGCATAGATTGATAGCATTAATCCAGCCGTGCATTTGTAGAATATGACTACGTTTCCGGCCCACGAGGACTACACTGCATTTGTAGAATATGACTATGCAAGGGCTACATCATTTTTCTCTGCCTAACACAGGGCTTGCCCTCTTGTAGGGGAACAGTAAATGCTGCCTGAGTGAGTGAATGAGTTGACTTCGTGTCAGGGAAGAACAGGGTCAAGGATGCATGTTCCAAAACACATTTCTCATCTATAAATAGATTTATTAACATAATGACTGGAAAATGAGTTTCTGTGAGGGCAGTAGCACTTTGGGATCTTGTTTAAATACTGTGGTCTAAAGCCTTTTATAAAAGGATCTTAGTTTTTCTAGGAGTTCTAGAACTTGAGAAAAATGTAAACTAGATCTAGCAGAACTAGTACTCCCAGCAAAGCAACCCCCTCCTGTGTGCAAATGTGTAGGATTCTGCCAAGTCCATCCTTAGAGTGTGAGGCACCTCTTCCCCACCTCTTAAAGTCTTAAGCTTTATTTGTTTAAAAACTTTTTTTTTTTTTTTAATTATGCACACATCTTTTCACTGGTATCTTCTTGGACAAGATCTCAGACATGAGAAACTAGCATCCGTTGGCAGCTAAAACTTGTGTTTCAGTTTCTTGCTGGCTTCAGTCCGCTGCTGTTGGTACTGCTTCTGGACCCAGGCCATGGACCCTTTGGGGGCAGGACTCAGTGTCATTTGAGGTAGTTTCAAAGGTTTTCTTTAGGTCTTAAAACTGAATTGATTCTTAAACTTATCCACTAGTCTGTATCCTTCATAGCCATTGCCAACATTTTATTATATGTAAATCCCTTATGTTAGGTCTTGGGGCTAGAAAAACGTGCTTAACTCTCAAGGAGTTTACAATCTGGCCGAGGGGACAGTTTATAAATACAGTAGGACCAACTGCCACGTCATTGGTATAGACAAATGCCATGTCACGCATTACTGTTGGATTTTACACTTTTGTGAATTAAAATTTTTAAATGTTGAATAAACAGTGGATTTTAAGGGAGCATCGATAAGTGGCAGAGACAGCAATAATGGATTTTAACTAGGTCTAAGAGCTTTCCTTTTAAGAGCTAAATTTATATATGTGCTGGTCAGAGATAAGAAATGTCTCTTTAATCTTTAGGATTCACAATCTCTAAAATATTTTAGCATTCCATTTTTTCTTAATAGAAGTGATTCCTTCATACAGTATAAAGAAGACAATGAAAATATTTTTAAAAGTTCCAGTCTTGTGAGATCCTATTGAAACAAGGTGTTTTTACAGATTTGACTTTATTAAAGGACAAATCTAGCTCCTAGTTAAGAATTAAAATTAAGAATTCCAGTTTCTATTTTTTTTTAATTCTTTGTCAGATAATTTTTTTTTTTAAGATTTTATTTATTTTATTTCAGAGAGAGAGAGAGAGAGCACGAGAGGCGGGGAGTGGGAGAGGGAGAAGCAGACTCCCCGCTGAGCAGGGAGCCCGATGTGGGGCTCTATCCCAGGACCCTGGGGTCATGACCTGAGCCAAAGACAGACGCTTAACGACTGAGCTACCCAGGTGTCCCAAGAATTCCAGTTTCTAATGAGGGTTTCAACTCTTTCCCAATCAGTAACATTAGGGAAAAAAAATGACATTTTAGGAAAATAATACATTGTCTGTGCAAATATTTAAAATCCTATTGCCCTAATTTTTAAAAATAGCCATTGCTAAAAAAAAAAAGTCAATTACACTTTTTAAGTTGACCATAATGTATCTATCCTAAAGCATCTTTAAAAAATCAATGTATTTTAAAATAGGATAACAAATAATGTAATGCTCATGAATTTTTTGAAACCATTCTTAGCATCGGATTGTCAGCCAAGAAATAGAGCTTCTCCCTCATTAGAGAGGGAGGTGTTTCTAGTTTTCAGCTAAATGTTAACAAATTTTCCCGTAGTTTGGTATGGCACGAAAAGAGCTCATATGACCATGGTAATTGAATACTAATGTTGTAAACAAAATATCAAACATCTGTAATTTTTTAAATGTTCTAAATGGGGTTCAAAAGGCCAATAACTTAGGTAAGTGCTAAGTCTTTGAGGGTATAAATCATCACTTCCTACAAATTTTATTGAGTTATTTAAAGCACTAGCAAACCAAAGTGTTCTGATCAGATTTCAGTTTCATGTCTCTTGAGTTCTCCTACCATTTTTCAGGAAGATGACCGTGTTTTGTCCCCATTGTACTTAAAAGGGTGGCTCAAATAGATGGCCGGTAAGAAAATCCTGCGTGAAGAAAACTGGCTGGCCCACGTGGCCGGCAGAAATTCACGTCTGTGTCCTGTAATATCATAAAAATGAAACAAGTCCAACAGTTTCCTTATCTTTAATCCTTCTATCAGTGCTGTAATAGTAGGTGTTACTTCCCGTCCTCAGACTTCCACCTTTGTATCTAACTGTGATGTCTGAGCCAGGACTCCATGAAGCGTTGCCTTGCTTGGTGGAAGAGAAAACATCTGCCTTCTAGTTCCCATAGATGCTATCCGGAGCCGGGGAATCCCTCTCTTCCTCTCTGTCTTTTCCTTTCCCCTCCCTTCCTTTCCTGACATGACGTCCGAGGGCTGCTGGAGCTGAAGAACTCATTCTTACTCAGTGGGAGTGTCCTAATAGGATGGGCATCACAAGAATACTTTTTGTCCCAAGGGCAGGTGATCGCAACACTGAAGACATTTTAAATATGAGAGTGCAGCAACCCAGGGGTCTGGGGCAGCTGAGGACATTTATATTTGAATTTCCACTCCCCAAACACATCACTGTGCCCCACCCCCACAGGATCACATCACAAAGAGTCTTTTTTTTTTTTTTTTTTTTTTTACCAGCCCTATTTATTTAGGGTTTTGGTGATAATCCTGTCAAGATTTAGTTTAGAAATTACATTGTAGATGAAAGAGCCTGTAGATGAAAGATGAAAGTAGCATTTCCATGTTAACACAACTGTGTCAGTTGTAAATAATTTATAAAAAAAGATATTTTCTGGGGAAAAATACCTGCCTTCTTTAGGATCTTGGCTCCTTTATGTGATTAGCTTGTAGGGAACAGAGTTGGATCAAGCAGGCCGGAAGTTACAAGTGGGGGTGTCAAGGAGTGTCAGACCATCTCCCCTCAACAGCAAACAACATTGAAGGCACGATCTCAGATTGCACAGTTCATTGTTCTGATTTCTTCGTTCTTCTACACATACATCTCTAGATTACACATTTAGAGATATTTCTAAATCTCTGTTTTCATCTGTGAAACTGCTTTGTTATTAAATATGAGAACATAGCTTTTTGATTTATTTGGAATTTTGGGTCTTCAGTCATATGAAATGATGAATGAAAATAAAAGAACTTTTTTGTTTAAGTCCATATACTCAATACAATTTTCCCTAAGCTTTTTGGTAAAAGTTAAAATAATTTTAAAATGCATTTTGAGGGGTGCCTAGCTGGCTCAATCAGAAAAGCATGCAACTCTTGGTCTTGGGGTTTGAGTTTGAGTTTGAGCCCCACGTTGGGTGTTGAGATTACTTAAATAAAACTTAAAAAATTTTAAAAGTGTGTTTTGAGAAGTTTCCTAAGTTTTGAAATGACTGTATAAAAATATCCTTAAGCTGAATGATACTGTATGTTGATCTCTTTCCAATTTACAGTGTGGTAACTCACATACAAGACTCAGAACTGAGGTGATGGGAGAATTAAAATGAGTAGGAATGAAGACACACTGAGAGAGACCTACATGAAGCAAAGGGAGAAAGCTCGGTTCTAACCAGCTCATCTCTGGACACATTCAGCTTTTTTTTTTTTAAGATTTTATTTATTTGACAGAGAGAGAGACACAGCGAGAGAGGGAACACAAGCTGGGGAAGTGGGAGAGGGAGGAGGTTTCCCGCAGAACTGGACTCCGGGATCATGACCTGAGCCAAAGGCAGACGCTTAATGACTGAGCCATCCAGGCGCCCCTGGACACATTCAGCTTCTAACCGTATTTTCATCCTTGGTGATTTTATATTTAACCAAACAAACAAACAAAAACAAAAAACTGTTTGCTATCCAAGTAGCCATGAAATAGGCACTTTATTTTGGATTCTAGAATTGAGCAAGATCAGAGAGCTGAGAAAACTGGGGCCAGTCCCCAAGAAAAAGGCAGCAACACAACTGCTTAAAAAGCCAGGGAGATGAGAACACTTGTGAACAGCAAACTGCAAGCTAGGCTTTTCCCTCTTTCTATATGATGTGGGCAGTGTTTTTCATTAGAAATTGTCATTCAGTTTCAATGCCAACAGCTGCAGAAAACCTGGAGTCCAGAAAAGAAGTAATTGGAGTCACTCTGGTAAGAACAAAGTGGTGCAATCCCCAAACATGAAATTGGGGACAATAAACTTAACAGAGACCCCAAATGCCAATCTCAGGATGGGATGCTTCTGTTACATGGCATCATTGCTGTGATGTAGACAGAAGGCAGGCGACAGAGCCCGGCGCCCGGGCTCCTGGGCACACCACACCGCGGTACGTTTCCGTATGTGATGTCCAGGGAAGTCATCAGCAAGGTCTGCCTTGAACCCTAAAACTGAAGAATAGAAATATACATCTCCGCATTTGGGTTGCGGGAAAATCTAGAACAACATGCAGCAGCCGTCAGTGGCTGAGGAGCGTTGGTAAGTGCGAAGGTGAATGGTGGGGCCAAGTCACAGATGATGAAAAGGCAGCAGGAGAAAGACGAAGACACTCTGTCGTCTTCCCATGGAAGAGAACAAATCTGATCCTCGAGCAACTGGAGACATTCAAATGCTTGGGGAGGGATGGAGACTAGCTGTTGTCTACTTGTATTGAGAATTAGAGCAAAGAAGCTATATGTTTTCTTTTCTTTTTTTAAAGATTTTATTTATTTATTTGAGAGAGATAGTGAGAGCATGAGATGGGGGAGGGCCAGAGGGAGAAGCAGAACCCCCGCCGAGCAGGGAGCCCGACACGGGACTCGATTCTTGGGACCCCGGGATCATGACCTGAGCAGAAGGCAGACACTTCATCGACTGAGCCACCCGGGTGCCCAGCTGTACATTTTCTGAAAGGTGGCTTACATGGGCCTTTTCTCTCTCAGGAAAAGACACGTGAGACACAAGAACATGTTTGAGCAGTAAGTTGTGGACAATCTTCCCTTTAAAATTATTTTTAAATTATCTTAGATGCAGAACTCCTCCAATCAGATACTCACAGGTAAGGTAACTTTAAAAAGTCCCATTCAGTCCACCTGACAATGTAACTATTTTGTAGGCCTTGATTCTCCTTTAATTCTTAATTTCCCCCTTTGCAAGATAAGGTTGATATGATTAAATCCAGGTGATACAGTAACAGCTCAGTAAATAATAGCAACTCATGATGATGATTAAATTAAAAGGTTATTTTAAAAAGGCATAAGAATAAAATAAAATTTATTAAAGGGATATTGTACACATGGATATGGACATATTTTCTCAAGTATTTCAACACCATAGCAATGCTAAACTGTGTTTAATTTCTTCATGTATAAAAAGATGTGCCGAAAGATGCATGCCTCATCGGTTTTAATTTTATTGGGTATGGCTATCGGTGACACCTTCTCTAGAAAAGCAAACTGCAAAGCGGCACACAGAGAGTACAGATATCCGAAGTTCATTCACACAGTCATTTCTCCAGTCTGCTCTTGAGGAGAACTTCAGATCTTTGCTCAATTCTAAACATTCAACAAAATGCTTGGACCTCTTGGGAAATAAAAGTAACAAATTTCTTTGTTTTTCTAGAACTAACTTTCCATTTATTAATGTAGTCTGTTATATTTCTGACCCAGATTAAGCCCTTTGCTAAAGGGACAACTTACCTCAGTCTGAAAATAAAGTGTTCTACAGTGTTTTCAAGTATTTTAGAAGATTTGCCAGTTCTGATAAAAAGCCATATTATATACATAGTAACATCATGTGAGTGTAGACAGGCACCACACGATAGATTCCTCTCAGGAGAATGATTTCTAGGATGTGTATAATCCCGGCATGAAGTGATGATGGGAATAATTTGCCTTTAAAATCCTACGGATTGATTAAAAGGGGAAAGATGCTAAACTAGATGCCAGTTTTCTGTAAAGATGAATTTGTGCAAGACTGCTTTATGCTCTGGGAATATGTAAGCCTGGCATTGGCCGATTGCACATTATAACATTTTACAGCACTAAACAAATGATGGGAGAAAACTGGCCTATTCCATTAGATGAAAGAACCTGCTGATACTTAAACATGGGACATTTTTACAAAAGCTGCCCCTAGAAATCTACTCAGTGTTCTGCTTTTCAATTTGAATGCATTTTTCTCTTCCATCGACACAGATTCCTGTTGAAAACCAGTGACTGTATAAATAAAGCTGCTGTGTCCTGGACCATCTAGCAGGGTCGAGTAGATTCGAGAAAGTACTAATGGTCGTCCTGGCACGTTGCCCTCAGCTGAGTTTGCGTTCAAACGTTTGACTTCCGCCTCTGCTGTCACCATGACGTCCTGCCCCCCTGCGGGACCACGTGATCTGAAGTCAGGGTGTGTTCTCCCAAAGGCAAGCCTGAGGGGGCAGCCACCCAAGGGACCTGAGGTCAGAGGCACTGGGATAAACTCACACTCACCTGCCCTGACACCTCCTCGACATGCTCACGAGGGTTATACTTTAGACATTGCTGCCAGAGGGAGCATCTCATTGAAGGTCTAAACTCACTTGAGATCCATTCTCAGAAATAGGTTTTGAAGGGGAGAAGAGAAAGGAGAGCACTGGAACAAGAAGGCCTCCGAACAAGAGAAAGCTGCGCGTAAGTGGCCCAGGGCTGCTGGGGGCCAATGGTTGGCTTCTAAAAGGTAAAGGGTTAATGTTGCCATTCGAAGGCCACTCCTCGAGAACCAGGATTTTCTGCCTTGGCTCACTGAAAATTGCTATTTTTCAGGGACAGCTTACCTAAGTCAGAATTAGATTTGTGAGTCTTTACTCATATAGACTCCTCTCTGAATTTCAAAACATTTCCATACTCCCCAAAGAAACTCTTTCTACAATAAATTAAAAAAAAGGTTTGGGGTTTACAGAATATTCTGGGGTTTCAGTATTTTTCTTAGCCCAGTTCAAACCAAAGAGGTTATAAATATCCAGAACCAATCTATGGCTAAATTATAAGGAAAACATGGTCGCCCCCAGCTATGTAAGTGACACTTATTACAGATACATCCCGTTTATGAGGTAGTCAGATTCCTCAGACGTAATGGGACGAGCTTTCTTCAGCTTCTGTTTCACCAGCCGTAGGCGGCACGCGACCATGAGAAGCAGCAGCGCCGTGATGGCCAAGCCCAGGGCCAGGGGTAGAACCGCACCTGTGAAGCGGTTAGACATGAACAGGGCAGGTCAGTGATCAGCCACAATAGAGCCACAGTTTACGGTACGATGAGCACTTTGCAGGCACTGCTCTAGTTCATCCGAACAACTCCATTACGTAGGTACTTGTACCATTTGCCATTTTATAGATCAAGGTGCGGAGATTAAGTCATGGGTCTAAGAGCACCTGGCTTGTAAATGGCAGGCGCAGTTCTCAAACCCAGGCTTCTTTCAAACCAGATTCTGTACCGGGTTCCTACAACATGTGGGTAGTGTCAGTGGGCACCAAGGTTGCAGCCGGATCCCCCCCAGCCCCCCTGTAACAGACTCTAAGTGGACAGCGGTGAAGACATGGCGGCCACAGGAGCGTGTTCATCGTAGTCACAGATGGTATTTGTGGATCCATCCATGATTATTCTCTCAGAATAAGTATGGACTAATTCCTGACTTCTTGTAGGGTTTTAAGAAATTTATTTTCTTTTCGAAATCCAGAGAACCTACCCTCAGCCAGTAAGATCCACTATTGAGAGCCAACTGCAAACTATGCTGGTGTAATTCTGGCTAAGGGTACTTGAAGAAAAAAATCTCTCTCATTCTCCTTCAAAGGGTCTCTCCTGGGGGTTGTGTCCTAGACACCCAGACGAGAAGCGAGAAGTGGCCTTTCGAGGCCAGCAGAAGTCTGGAAGGGACAGGGTGTGCCCCGGCTCAGTCTTCCTTATCAAGCTCAGTAGGCTCTATTCTTAGTCTGATCTACTCTGGAGTCAGACCAGGCTTGGAGACGATATGGTGGAGCTACTTTTAGCTGCAGGGGTCTTGCCAACTCGTGGAATTAGAGGGATAAAAATGCCCATCGCATAAGCTGATTCTATAACCTTTCATCTCGTTCCTTTCTTCACTCATGCAGTGTTCAGTCAGAGCTATGTGCCTGACACTGAGCTCAGTGCTGGTGACCAAAGATGATAAGCCCATATGCTATAGAGTCCCGGCACTGTTCTAAGTGCCTTTTGTTTTTTTTTTAAAGAATGATATATTTTTTAAAGATTTATTTATTTATTTTAGACAGAGAGAGAGAGAGAGAGTCTTAAGCAGACTCCAACACAGGGCTTGATCCTATGACCCTGAAACCATGACCTGAGCCGAAACCAAGAGTTGGACGCCTAACCGACTGAGCCACCCAGGCGCCTGCACTCTTCTAAGTGCTTTATGGTATAAATCATTTAATTCTCAGAACCACCATTTGAGTTGGTACCATTATTATACCTATTTTGCAAGTGAAGGAACTAAGATACCAAGAATGAAGTGACTTGTCTGAGCTTGTCAGGTCAGTGGTGCAGCGAGGACAGGGCCGCAGGCAGGGCAACTGCAGACCCACCACCGTACAGAACTTCTTCAAAAGGGAAATGAGATCATGATTTTTAATGATTTCAGGTCTGGGTAGACAGACATTTAAGTGAAAAAACACCATTAAGTACTATAATTACTGTGACAGAATTAGATAAGAAGTGCAGATGTAAAAGGAGTGGTTTGTGTATCCAGTTCATAGGATTTTTGCTCCAGTGGTTTAAATGTATGATGGAGCTCCTTTGGGGTGGGTGGGGGAGATAAATGTATTTTCTGACATTTTTGGATTGAAATGCCTATACATGATTCAGGTAGAATTTTCTTTAGGTTTCTGGAATTTTTTTTTAAAGATTTATTTATTTACTTGAGAGAGAGAGGGCGAGAGACAGCACGCGCCCATGGTGGGTGGGGGGCAGAGGGAGAGAGAGAGAGAGAATCTTAAGCAGACTTGCTGCTGAGTACGGAGCCGATATCACGACCCTGAGATCGTGACCTGAGCCGACATCAAGACTCAGATGCTTAACTGACTGAGCCACCCAGGTGCCCCATAGGTTTCTGGATTATTTGGGCCTAAATATGTGAGAGTCCTTAGTGTCGAGGTCGTGGTTGCAGCCACAAAGGGGATGAGATTGCCAGAGAGAAAGGGAGGAGGGGGAGGGCCAGGAGAGAGGCCCTAGGAAACACCAACATTTAAGAGGGCCAACAAAAGACAACCTAAGAGAACAGAAAGAGGTGGATCAGAGAAGTGGCAGCGCAGCCAAGGGAGAGGGGAGCCTCAGAAGCACAGGGAAAAGACTTTCAAGGAAGCACTTGGCTGAACCAAATGCTAAGAAGAGGTCAAGTGAGGTGAAGCCCAGAGAGGCCAAGGGACTTAGCAATCAGAAATTCTTTTCAGGGAGACTGAAGATTGAGGGATGCTATTTTGTTTTTATGTGTTGGGAGAGATCTGAAAGTGTCTGCAGCTGTTGGGGGAACGAGCCAGTAGAGAAAGAGATTAAAGACACAGGAGAGTTGGGGCGCCTGGGTGGCTCAGTTGTTAAGCGTCTGCCTTCAGCTCAGGTCATGGTCCCAGGGTCCTGGGATCGAGCCCCACATCGGGCTCCCTGCTGGGTGGGAAGCCTGCTTCTCCCTCCCCCACTCCCCCTGCTTGTGTTCCCTCTCTCGCTGTGTCTCTCTGTCAAATAAATAAACAAAATCTTAAAAAACAAAACAAAACACAGGAGAGTTAATCAATGATGGAGAAACGTACCTGAGAAGATTAGGGGCTTGTATAGGTCAGGTCAGGGGGAGACTGACCTTGGAAAGAGGGGACACTTCTTCCTTTAGTACTGAAGGAAAGGAAGCGGGGTGGGGGCAAACGGACGAATGTTCACGTTTGGGGATGAGTAGCTGAGGACGATCACTCTGCTTGTTCAGGGCAGGGAAAGGACTAGAGGCTGCCCTTCTAAATGTGTGTGATTTTTGCATAAGGATGAGCACCAGCGCTTAGGCCTCAGTGAACGGGGCTGCGCTTGAAGATCCCAATCCCAGGTCTGGGATGCAGATGCAGCCATGGTAACAACAGAGCAGACATACAATCTCGGCGAATTTTCTGTTTGCCAAGTCAGAGATGAGCTGGCTAAACTGTCAAATTGATTTCTGTGTAATGCTTTGAATACAAGGAAAATGAAATCTCCCATAAAGAACTTGCTACAATACTGCAAATTATTCTAGACTTTTCAATACTCATTTGGCATGGTTTCTTCATTGTCTTTAGTTTGGGTATTTGGAGATTTAAAATTTTCTAACCCCTTATAAAACACATCATGATATAATTTTCTCAGGAACCAGCTAAGGAGATGAATTGGGTATTCTGCTCGTATGAGTGGGAGTGACGTTCATAATACATAACAACTGGAACGGGCAATGGGCAGTTAGAACGGAGACTCTGCATACAGCCAGCCATGGGGGCCGGGCAGGCCTGGCTTCCCTTTACGTGTCCATGGGCGACAGGGCCCTTTTTATTCAAATATCTGGGGCCGGGGTAAGTCCAGCAGGCCTACAGACTGAGCAGCATCTAGGTACTTGAGGTCTGGATTATTCTGGCCATCTGTTGGTTAACGGTTATACTTTAATGTTGTCCAGATTTTACAAAGAACACTCTAGGGTAAAGAGAAAGCCTTCTCCACGTTCAGATCTATAATTTAAGAATCATCTTTTGTTCTCCTAAATCTTCTTTTACTAATTAGTTTGTGGGATTTAGGACTAAAACCTACTTTTCTACAGAACTATGTCGAATGTGTTTTCTTTCTCATTAAAAACCACCAAAATCATGGAATTATGGTATTCTTCTTCTACTCACTAAATATTCCCTTGACCTCCAACACTCTTTCCTCATTCTTATTGTCTTGGGTCTTTATCGCTCGAGTATGCTGGAGAGAACTAGGTACTCTAAGATCTTTACTCTTGTAGTATAACTAACTCAAACATAATAGCCACCATTTATCTGGCTCACTGTATGAGCCACACAGTGTGCTAAATGGTTTAACTGTCCCTTTCATCCTCCCTAACAACTCTGAGGCAGTGAGAGTTGTTATCTCCCTCTTACTAATGAGGAGACTGGGATCCAGAGAGAGAAAATCGCCCACCCCAGGTCACAGAGTTTAGTGGTGGAGCAAGGGTTTGAACCTTGGCATCAGATTCTAGAGCTTGAGGTATGTATGTATGTATGTATGTGTTTGTTTGTTTGTTTGTTTATTTATTTATTTATTTATTGTCAGAGAGAGAGAGCACAAGCAGGGGGAGTGGCAGGCAGAGGGAGAGGGAGAAGCAGGCTCCCCGCCGACCACTGAGCCTGATGAGGGGCTCCATCCCAGGACCCTGGATCGTGACCTGAACTGAAGGCAGACGCTCAATGGACTGGGCCACCCAGGCGCCCCTACAGCCCATGTTCTTAACCCCTGTGCGTGAGTATTACTCTTCCCACAGAATGTTACACCTGGGAGGGAATATAGTGATAATCTAGTCCAATCAACTTCTAAAAGAGGAAGCCAAGATCCGAAGACGTGAGGTTACTAGTTTAAGAGCCCAGCGAGGCAGCATGACAGAGGAGGGGAGAACCGCGCCGTTCTTCCGACCCACAGATCCGGTCGTGACTCCTGCAGCTGCATCTGGTAACTGCAGTTAGAGGATCTGGCATTCGGCAGATGTCTATACTCTGCAATGAATTTCCAAGTTACACATTTACCTGTTTCTGGGGCCGGGTGTTCCCCTCCTCCTCGATCGCTCTTGGACTCAAAAATATAATTTTCTTCTTTTCTGTTCTTCCCTGAGGAGCCACGATCTACAGGAAACAAATAGAACATATACTGAAGGTACAGCAGAAACTTCAGGAAACAGACATGAAAATACAGCCTTATTTAGTTTTTTAGGATGGATTTAAAGGACTTACAGAATTTATTTCTCTAGTAAACCTAGGTCTGTGTCGGATACTAACCCACTGGACAGCTCACGTGACCGGTTTAGCAATGCCGAGGATGGGGCTAGAACAAAACCGCGGGCAGAGAAAGGGGAAGAGGCAGAAGGCACCGGAAGTCCAACCGGCGCCCTGACCCTGGAGGGTGAAGGAGAGGCCTTGGCTTCAAAGTCAAGGGTAATCTCTGGACTTCATACCACAGAAAGCAGAAGCAGTCCACAGAGGTTTTTCTTTAAAAAATGAACAGTGAGCGGGAGCCTAGGTGGCTCAGTCGGTTAAGCGTCTGCCTTGGGCTCAGGTCATGGTCCCAGGGTCCTGGGATCGAGTCCCGCATCGGGCTCCCTGCTCGGTGGGAAGCCTGCTTCTCCCTCTCCCACTCCCCCTGCTTGTGCACTCTCTCTCTCTCCCTTTTTTATTTATTTGAGAGAGAGAATAAGAGAGAGCACGAAAGAGGGGAGGTTCAGCGGGAGAAGCAGGCTTCCCATCGAGCAGGGAGCCTGACGCGGGGCTCGATCCCAAGACCCTGAGATCATGACCTGAGCCGAAGGCAGACACTAAACCAACTGAGCCACCCAGGCGCCCCTAAATAAATAAAATCTTAAAAAAAAAAAAAAAGAGCAGTGAGCATACAAAAGGCACTCAGACACACTATTTGACTTTCTTACCTCAACCCTACTTGGCAGGTATTCATTGCTTCATGTGTTCTGGTTTGGTCACAGAGGCTTGGCACCTGCTCAGGTTCTTTCGAGTAGTAAGTGGCTCAGAGGGCTGGGGTTTATTTATTTATTTTTTGAGAGAGAGAGTGTGTGCAAGGGAGCAGGGGCAGGGCGGAGCGGGGTAAGTGCTGGGAGGCACAGAGAGAGAGGAAGAGAGAGAATCGTAACCAACTGAGCCACCCAGGCGCCTCGGGGCTGGGATTTAAACCCAGGTGGCCTAACTGCTTGTTGGCGGAAACCAGCCCTTGTGATGTAATAACGTGCTGTTAATTGCTCACTCTATTCCCTTATATTATATTATTGAGAGCAAATAGTGAGAAAGATCAAATCTTAGGATTTTATCCCAGGTCTGATGAGTCACGATTATACCATTGTATCATCTCCTATCTAGGAATTGACAACATTGTGTGCTTATTACATTGACAATATAATGAGTAATGAGCTAGTGGAGTTGCCCTCCTGCTGTGATCTCAGGGGAGACTGTGGGATAATATAATTCTCAGTGACAACATATTAGAAATGATGAACTGGCATGAGGAATTTTACTGAGAAACAAAACCAAATTTTAAAGCTTCTTTACTCATAGGTCATCAACAGGTACGTTCATAACTCCTGCAACTGAAATCAGGCTACTTAAATATAGTATTTATAAAATTCTTTGTAATTTGTACTAAGGGATATGCCTGGATTTACTAAGGATCACAAAAATCAAGAGGATAACGGAAAATTGTGAAATTATTGCAGGTACCTACTAGAGCCAGAAAGCCATGACTTAAACCGATCGTAGCAGCCCCGGGCTAACGCTGTTAAAGAGAAGGGACTGCAAATACGTTTAATTTCTTTAAGGCATCCTTGACGCTCCTTTTCACTCAGCCCCGCCAGTCATCCATCTCTGTACAGTGCAGACCTTGTCTAGGATGCCCTGTGAAATATCCCCGACTGTGGCCCCTCTTCTCTGTCCTCAAGGCCACAGCCTTAGGTGTCTGTCACCTTCAACTCAAGCACTGCAAGAACCTCTGCCCCGGGTGGGGTGTGTCTGCCCAGGTTCCTCACCCACACTGCCCAGTGTCCGTGCCAGGAGGCTGGCCCGCTCCCTCTGTTCTGCTGTGCTTCTCCATGCTACTCTAAAAGGACCCATCCAGGTCACCTGCATATAGCCAGCAATGTGGGCTGTCCTCCATAAACTCCTGGCCCAAAGAGAATGAGACACATGAGAAGACACAATTGCCACAGACTCTAGAATTTCCAGGGGATTTGCCCTGCCCGAGTTGGTATTTGAAATGAGAATTTCTATTTTCTACATTTCAGGGAGGAATTCACTGTCATTTCCCAGACTGCCTGATTCACTTTTCCTAGAGGCCCACGTCTGGGACACCACAGAGAAACGCTTCATTTGCACATGTCCTATGGTAGGCTCTAACCAGAGTGGCAAGTCAGCACAAACAAGACAAAAATGGCATTTGCTTCTGCAGATAGCTTATTTCTAACAACCCTTTTACAAAAGTTAATGTCTTAGGAAATTATTTTGTCCCTTTTCTGAATGACATATTGTGCTATGTGTACATGCAGAGCCATGCATCCACAGAAGGACTTGGAAGCTGGATGGAGTTGTTTTAATTTCATTTTCAGTCACCATGGAACATGCACTGGAAGGAAGGTGGAAATACCAGCCAGAAAAGTGGCTACAATACGGGCCTGCCTTCCAGAAGCTCTATGGCTTCCTATGACCACCTGCCGACTAACAGAGACCACGGAATTGTTCTTGGTCACTATTCACCGGCAGAGCACGCTGCAGGGCTGCAAAGTAGGCAAGAGGGCGCTCTCTTCAGGAAATGTTCTGGATTGTACTAGGATAAGATCCATCCATTTCAGAAAACAGTTGATTCCTGCTATCACATTAGAGCATTAACAGGCTATTCAGCTATGCTGCTTATCAGGCTTCAACAAATTCAAACTACCTTCCCAGAAATGTTGTTTTATAGTTTCAGGATGTTTTCTCAATAAGAAAAGAGACAGTCCAGCATAATGAAAAGATGAAAGACCCACGAAAAATACACGGCACATGAAAAAGCCCTTTTGAATATCGTTTATAAGGATATCCTCTCTGGATAAAACCCCTTGCACACTAATGCAAAGGTCACAGTTGTTACTGCAGTTAGCACTGCAGAGAAGCTGAAGGGTGAGGCTTCGGCACGCTTAGCGGGGATGTGAGAAAGTGCAGGCAGAAGCCCCTGCGTCCATACAGAAACCGCACATTCTCCCAAGTCCGTGCTTCAGTCTGGGTCCTTAGGGCATCTGGTTGACCTGCTGGGCTGGACATGAATTCTCAAGTTTCAAAAAACTGGACTCACTGTGAACGTGGATATACTACTTTTCTAGCACTCTGCAGTGCCGGGAGTCAGATTTCTTTCCTCTGGCTGGGTCAGATAGAAGAGGACAGCCTTGTTCATGAGTGACGTGACCACCCAGGGAAGAGGCCCTGCAGAGGCAGGCACGTCCAACAGTTCAGCCATTGAGCCCCTGCATGCTGAGCACACAGTCTCGACCCGCGGTGCTGAGTGCACGTGGTATCCATTCCCCTTGTAACTGAGTATCTGTACACATCCTTGGTTTGATCCTTAGTAACATGCTTAGGAGAAATTCCTAATGGTGAGATAACTGAATCAAGGCACGTGCAGATTTAAGGCTTCAGAACCCTCTAGAAGATTGTACTAAGTTTTTAAAAAAAATTTATTTATTTTAGAGAGAGCACTCGCAGAGGGGAGGGGTGGAGGGAGAGAGAGTCTTAAGCAGATTCCCCACTGAGCGGGGAGCCTGAAGCAGGGCCCGATCTCAGGGCCCTGAGATCACGACCGGAGCAGAAACCAAAACCAAGAGTCGGTCGCTTCACCAAAGGCGCCATCCCGGCACCCAAGATTGTACTAATTTTAATCCCACCCAGAGTGCATGAGTCTTGTTTCTCTGTGCTCTGTACATTAATTATTATAGTTTTTCGCTTTGCTAATGTGACAGATGAAAAACTGCATTTCATCACTTTCTGTACTACATGATCAGTATTAATCCTAGTATCTCTTTAACAAATCTTCAATGAGTTAAGATTCTTTTTTTTTTTTTTTAAGATTTTATTTATTTATTTGACAGAGAGAGACACAGCGAGAGAGGGAACACAAGCAGGGGGAGTGGGAGAGGGAGAAGCAGGCTTCCCGTGGAGCAGGGAGCCCGATGCGGGGCTCGATCCCAGGACCCTGGGGTCATGACCTGAGCCGAAGGCAGACGCTTAACGATTGAGCCACCCAGGCGCCTAAGTTAAGTTTCTTTTATCCTCACAACATGTCTGTGGGGGAAGGAAGTGGCAGAAAATTTAACTTGTCCATATGTATTGTACTAGCTGATGATCTTTGAAAAACCCAGGCACAGGTTGCCAACAGTGGAGCATTTTAAAATCTATTTATGTTATGCTGGGTAGAGCCTAACTTACCTCACATGAAATTGGAGGCTGGGGACGCTAGTGTGGTGGTCTTAGGGATGGGGAGGGAGGTGATAGTTGCTGTCTCAACAAACTGCATGTTGTGGGGGCCCTTTCAAACATTTTCAAAGTTCTGTCCTTCTCTTCCCACTTTCTTCATCCTGGACTTTCAAATATTGTGTTTTCTTTCTTCACCCATCCCCCACCTACCTCCCCTCTAGCACCCATCAGTTTGTTCTCTGTACTTATGAATCTGTTTTTTTGTGTGTGTTTGTTTTTTAAAAAGTTTTTGTTTTTGATGGATTGTAATAACACAAGAATATACTCCTGAGAAAAATAAAAGTTTTGTATACCTAACGTGTTCCTAATTTTGTTAAAAGTGAATAAATGTCCAAAAAACTACTAGAACTGATAAATGAATTCAGTAAAGTTGTGGGATACAAAATTAATATACAGAAATCTGGTGCATTTCTATACATTAATAATGAAATAGCAGAAAGAGAAATTAAGAAAAAAATCCCATTTACAACTGCACCAAAAAGAATAAAATATCTAGGAGTAAACTTAATCCAGGAGGTGAAAGACTTGAACTCCGGAAACTATAAAACACTGATGAAAGAAACTGAAACTGACACAAACAAATGGAAAGACACTCCATGCTCATGGACTGGAAGACCAAATATTGT